CCTGCCAATGTCACTTCAGTAGCATGGAGTCCACTGAATTCTGGTGGTGGCACAGGTCGAGCCATAGCAGAAGGAACTGGCCGGTATTCAGGATTTTCTGAAACACCGGCCTCGGCAGATAAGGGAAGATGGGAGAGTATATTAAGATCTGAGCTGAGATCACCTTAAAAGCTTACCGAGAATGCCTGTAACATCTGCAACATCTCTTCCTTAGGTTATGCTTGCCGTGGTATCTCCACCTCCACTGTTCTTCAGGGTAAGCGTAAAGCTTTTGTATGTGAGTTGATTTTTCTTTCCTAAAATCCACTAAACATAAGCTAATAAAGTGTTTCCGTTTGTTTCCAGCTAGAACCCACGTTAGCTGTGATATCAAAGGAGATGTCGCTGTTGTACGTTTCAGCACACCAGATTCAAAGGTGCGGTTTTGTTGACTGTGATTAATAGGCATATCAGAGGAAAGAGCAGGAATACAGGTAGTACAGAGAAGGCATTGAAAATTGGTAACTGAAGACTAAGAACTTTCCTAACCTGCTGCCAGTCAGATTTGAAAGTGGAAATTTGAGAATGAGAATCGGGGCATATAATAAAAGAACATACTGGGAAGTGCCCCCTGGAAATATTTTATTTGTACCAAATTGACTTGTCTCTCTCACCAGCACAAGGTGTCACTGAACATTAAGTTCTCGATTCAAAGTGGCTGAGGAGAGGGTCCATTCTGTTGAACAAAACAGCTTAGAAGCTCTTAAAACATGTATTGGTGAGGCTGAAGAAGAAACTTCTTAAGAGCAGATTACTTGATAACCTGCTGCAAGGTTTCATCTTGGGGTTTTCTTTCTGGCTGTGTTGTGATACAGGGTGAAATGAACTTTATAGCCAACCTGGGCTCAATTTGTGTGCCCAGAAACATTAGAATTGTGCCAGAATGCAAATTTTAAAAGGCTATAGAGCTACTGCTTCCACTGCCTTCAGACAGATTGGAAAATCCATTTAGACTTACCATTGACTTTGGCTTTTTCCTCAGTCTTTCTTCTGTGAGAGTTTTCCGATGATATGATGATTGAGTCCAGCACTTAATCAGAGGTTTAACTCCACTGTCTCGTGGGCTCTCTATTTACAATGTGTATTGGCTACCTTCAGGTGAACACTCTGTCCAAACAATTGAGCTCCGAGATGAGTGATGTATTGAATGAAGTCTGGGCCAATGAAGCTGTCAAAAGTGCCGTCCTCATCTCTTCAAAGCCAGGCTCTTTCATTGCTGGAGCAGATCTTGAGTAAGTTTGGGTGGCAGTAGAAACTATGCTGATGGAGCTTTCTCTAAAGTCCAGCATCTCGGGCAAAAGGTCTGGTGTGCTGTGAAGACTGAGCAGTTTGTCACTGACCTCTCCCCAAGGGTGAGGTAGAGAATGAATATGAAATCCATGTGCGCAGGATGTATAACTTGACAGGGACTTGCTGAAATGAAGTTATGGCCTTGATAAAGAGGAACCTGGCTAGTCATTAAACCCCATTTGCTTCTAGCACTGGGTCGCTCCTTCCTGCGTGCCAGGGTGCAGCCAAGGAAAATTCCCTTTCTGGCTCAGGGGTAAGCCTTGTGCTTTGGTCTGGGGCACAACGAGAGCAGATAATTTACATGCAGAACTTCATTTGAGCTGGATCTTGAGTGTCTGGCAGTCTGCCAGCACAGCTCCTTGATTGGGCAGTCTTGGCTCTCTGCCATATGGAGCATCTGAGCAGCTTCCCAGGCTGGGTAACTCTTGTCGGGTGCGAGTACGCCCTGTATGAGTGCTCTCACCTGGGCCTGGAGTGCAGTCAATTGCCAGTCCTGCATTGGGCACGACAGAACAGTTGTTTAAAGACATTAAAATCCGGAAGCTTTGAGCAGAGAAGGTAAATGCATATCAGCCCTTCCAGAGCTTGTTACCTTTTTGTCCAGCCTTATTCAGGAGCAGAGACTTGATCTATCCTGTGGTGGGAAGGAGGCAGTAGCTTTAGCTGGTAAGCAGGACAAAAGGACAGGCTGTGTTTAAGAGGTCTCGGCTGGTCTCAGTGCAGCAAGCCTGCTGATTAGTGCCTGCCTGGCAAACGCTGCTAGCCTCTGTGAGAATAATTGGCTCGGAAAGTCTCTAATTGGCGGAGTGCAATGTCAGAGCACTGGCCATCTGCTTCTCTCAAATGTGATCCTGGGCTCTCCCTTCCACCCTTCCTGGCAAGTGCTTTGAGGCTTCCTGTGACCCTTCCTTCTCTCCCCAAAAGGCTTTCAGAGCTCTGGCACAAGGAGACTCATTCACTGCCTGCAGGCACAGTCCCGTGTCAGTATGCAGTGACTTAACCCACTGATTTGAGTAGTCTTCCTGTGTTCTCTGTTAATCTAAATCTGTGGGACTAAATAGCTCTTGCCTGTCTGTCAGTCATTGGAGCTTTGTGGGAAGAGGGGAATAAAATCCTTGAAGCACTCTCCATTTTACTGCTGTTTTCTCAGCGCTTTTCCAATTCTGATCAGCCTTTCTGCCTCACTGCAGCATGATTGGCGCCTGCAAGACTTCTCAGGAAGTGACTCAGCTCTCTCAGGAAGGACAGAAGATGTTAGAAAAAATTGAGCGGTCTTCAAAGCCCATAGTTGCTGCCATCAGTGGCTCCTGCCTGGGAGGAGGACTGGAGGTACTGGACAGTTTGGGGTCTGCCAAGCAGCAGTGGGAGTTGGTAGCGCTAGTTCTCCAAACTAGCCGAATGATGCCCGCAGGACTATCCTGAAAGGGTGCGAGAAGGATCTGAGACCTGGCGTGGATTCTGTACAGCCATTCAAATGAATCTGTGGCAAATTAACGGGTTGGTTGTGCTTCATGGCTCTGCCATGCTAATTTTTCTGCTGCTGTTGAAAGAGAGCTAATCAAATATGAATCTCTGCGTGCTAGGCTAATATTTAGGTGAGTGCACTCCTGGGAAAACAAGCTGTTTCCAGCAGGCATTGGATCTAGAGAAATGCTGTTGGCAGAATCCGGGCTGGAAATAGCTTCTTTTCAGTTGAAATGAACCTCACATCCCAGCAACTTCTTTTAAAGGTTCTTGTGAGAAGGATGAGTGTGGGGAACCTGGTAAGGCTCCAACCTGGCCTACATTCTCTCTTGCTTGCCAATTCAGCTGGGTGCAGTATTTGCTTCCTAATCTCTGTTTAGGATTATGCATTTTTAAGTAGCTAATCTTCTCATCTCTGCCCAGCGTGATGAGGAAGGAGGAGGCTTTGTCAACTGAAAGGCGCTGTGATTATTTCTGCAGCAAAGTTTTCACTACATTGGAATAACTTTGTTTCTGAGAATGGGGTCTCTTCAGCTGTGTACTGATTTCTCAAGCAATTTCAGCTTTTTGCAAGCACAGTGATGAAGGATCTGGGCTTGGTGATCCAGTGATGGGCTGAGCGTCGTTGCTGATCTGTAAATGGGACAGTGCTCTTGAGTGCAGTGAATGAATTTAGCCCCCGAGAGTCCAGATGAGATTTAAAAACAGCTTGGCTCAAATCTGTAGTCTTGTGTTCATGCCAATAGCTGCTTGCTATCATCAGCCCCGTTTGCCCTCTTCTCGCTGGAGGAAGCCATGAATGAGCACAGAGGGAATTTGGGCAGTTGAACTAGGGGTGAGCCAGGAGGAAAGCTGGGGAAGGGTGTGGAAGGGAGCTTTGTGATGGGTGCCCAGTTCTTCTGTGGTCTCTCAACGGGAACTCTTGAGATGGTTTCTCTTCCTATTTTAAGGTTGCCCTTGCCTGTCACTACAGAATAGCAACAAAGGACAAGAAAACGGTCTTGGCCACACCTGAAGTGTCACTGGGACTCCTGCCAGGGGCAGGGGCCACTCAGAGGCTGCCAAAGCTGGTAAGTAGGAGACAAATCTTAATAGCCCTTTCTGCTTCACAGCGTGCTCCCACTCTGAAAACCTCTTTCTGCCCCTGCAGGTAGGACTTCCTGCTGCCTTTGATATGATGCTAACTGGGAAGAGCATCCGTCCTGACAGAGCAAAGAAGATGGGTCTGGTTGACCAGCTGGTGGACCCACTAGGTCAGACATGAGGACGCTAGCATTGTCTTCAGCTGCTTAGGAAGCTGATCTGCTGTCTGTCGGTTAACCTCTCCACCTTGCTGAAATGGGCAGAGAAGCCCTCCATGCAGCCAGCAGTCTAATGGAGGCAGAGCGTGTGGTCTGGAAAGTCCTTACGATGCTCTGCAGTGCAACCACCATTCCCACCTGAGAAGCACGTGCACAGGGACCTTGACATGTCAGGCTCAGTCTAAAGCTAAGTGAATAGAGAAAGGTTAGAGCGAAGGGTCGGCCTGTTGGCTCTCTTGCATAAGCGAATTGTACAGATAAGAACCTGCATTCCTCATTTATCATGTCAGAGGGACAGATTGCAACCCCTAATAAAAGGAGACTAGGTGACTGATGCCTACATTTATGCAGCCTGCAGATCAATGACAAGATCTGTGGGGGAAGCCAACCCCTACAACTTAGGTGCTCTGACTTGCTAACTGACTTTCAGTTGGATGGAGAAATTCCTTGCAAGTTGCAGACCAAATTGCACTTCCAAGTGGGCTAATGAATAATTGCTTGCTTCTGCTGTTCCTGCATCAGGGCAACTTTTTTGGAAGGTAACTATGTGGAGGGGCCAACCCTCTGCAGCCTCTGCTGAAAGCTCTGAACAGCTGCAGCTGGGAGTTAAACCATTGTGGCCGTTGATACTACCACATAGTTGCAGCATGCTGAGCTGTTTCCCCAGTCAGAGCGCAGCTGAAGGACCCAACGGGCCCTTAGTGCCTTAGTTTAATGAACAAAAAATCAGCCTAGCCTGAGAAAAGCGGGGGAAGCCCTGGTATCTGTTTTGTCTCGCATACCACTCTTCAGCTGGGTGAGGTGTCTTTAGCCTTCCTCTGACTTATGAAATGGGTCAGTGGTACCTAGGCTTGAGTTAAAAATCTGCATTACCACCGCATAGTTGCTTAAGTATGGTATTGCAAATGTGGCTCTTTATAGCAATGAACACTCTGGCTCGCTAAAAGGAAACCTGAACTTTTAAAGAGCTGTTAGGAATCCTAACTCAGACCAGATAAGCACTTCGGAGGAGACAAAAAAAGAAAACAATCAAAAAAAAAAAAAAGACCTGTGAACGTTGGAGGCATTCTTTGTTTGTTCAAGCAGCACCCAGTGCCAGAAGGTTTTCTGCTGCGTAATCGCATATTCATTCTGAATGTCTGGGCAAAAGCAGCTTTATCTGTGGTGATGCTTTAACTGATAATAAAGCTTTAAAAGGAAAAAGGCAGCATTAATCAGGCAATTTCTTCTAGTGCGAATGGTGTGGAAGTGGACGAACTGTAGAATCCAAGGAGGAAGTTTTGTGGGGTGCTTTTGTGGGGTGCTATTGGTTCTCCTTCAGTAAGGAACTCCTCAGCATTCTCTTACTCCGCTTACTAATATGCCCAGATCTTTTATATAGCTAAGTAGATGCTAGTTGACAGCTTGGAGCTTCCTTGGTTAAGACCCTACAGCAATTAAATTGTTGAAAGGCAACTGCAGGTAAAGCAGCACGTACGTGGATTTCACCACCTTGCCTAAATAGTTCTTACAGCTCAGGTCTATAAATGAAGTGTTTTTTTCCAGCTGCGGTATCAAAGTTCAGAGCTTGTGGGCATTGTACACAAAGCTGATGGAAAGGGGAAATCAGGTATTCACATGCTGTAGCACATCAGATCATTAAAGCTTAAAGGTCCCGTGCTGCCTTGAAATGGTGGAAGGGAACTTGGGGGCTGGTAAGATTTCAGCTCAGAAATCCCTTCACCCTTAGAGGTGGGAATACTTTCCGATGAATGCTCTAAATGCTCTGGCCATTGGTGAAATGCAGACGAGGCAGCAGCTCTGGGGTAAGTTTTCCGAGCTGACCGTAAAATGAAATCTGCTATACAATTAAGTTTGGACTGTTTTTCTCTAGACTGGCTCTGACTTACTTCCAGGGTAAGGTAAGACTTCCTAATGGTGAGCTCTTATAATCTGGTCAAAATGCATGTGTTCCTTTATTTGCTCCTTGCCAGGAGACCCTCCAGCAGGCAGCAGGATCTGGAGTCTGCAGGATATGTGCTCTCAGGTCTCTGTGAAAAAAGAAGTGAAACCTTCAAGTTGTATAGGGTTGTGGACTTTTCAGTGTTTTCTTTGCTGTTGTTTGTTTGTTTGTTGTTGGTAGGTTTTTGTTTGTTTGCTTCTTCAATAACTGTTTCCCCTATCACAGCAGACAACTGCTCCTTGATGTGTTTTTAGCTCTGAGGACCCTGTACAGGATGTAGGTGTGGTTGGAACCATTTCTAGCGAAGACTAATGAGATTGCTCAGCCTAAGGATGCAGAGTTGTAATCTTGTCAAGTTTGTTCTGCTAGTTCAGAGGCAGCCCAGCTCAAGGCTACACTTCTAGCTACAGTTTCCTTATGGTGGTCCAGTGAAAAATTACTGGGCAGTGCTTCTTCATTAAGGACTCATTTTATTTGCCTTCAACAGCTTAATACGCATAACTGCATTTTCAACCCTACACTCTGTCCTCCTGCATTAAGGACATCAGCCCTGTGCTTGGAAATTGTGCAACCCACCCCCAGAGTTTGCTAAACCATGCCTTTGTAACAACTTGCTTTGTTGTTTTTGGGACAGGTTTGAGTTAGCACAGATGGGCAGCGAGGTGGATTGCACACCACTGGGGATCTGGTTAGAATTGACTGTATTTGGTACTAGCTAAAGCAAGTAAGATTTCCTGCACCGAAGGTCTAAGGTTGATGAAGTTTTATCATGCATTGGCTCCAGTACAGGTAATGTTTAAGGAGGCAGTTCTTGATAAGTGTTGTCTAGATGTTTAATAGCAATAGTGTTGTTACAACTCAGTTGTGCAGACTTACTCTACCACGTAAGAAAGCAGAGGTGCAACAAGAGGTGGGAAGGCAGGACACTTGCGTTCTGTTAAGATATAGATGTTGCCTGCAGTTACACAAAGCGAAAGGATGAGAGGCAATAGACAAAAATTGTGGCAAGTGCTGTTTTAATTAAATGTTACAAAAATATCTTCCCAATGAGGATGGTCAGACATTGAACACAAGTGCAGAGAAGTGGCAGGATCTCCATCCTTGGAAGCGCTCAGAACGTGACAGAACATGTCCCTGAGCAACCTGATCTAATTCCAAAGTTGGATTTAACTTGGAAGTTGGCCCTGCTTTGAGCAGTGGGTTAGACCGGATGGCCTCCAGTCTTCCCTTACAACGAAAATTAGTCCATGAAAGGAGTGTTGATATTTAAGTGACATACTGCTGTCTGCTCCCATTGGGGGTTGACATTTTGGCGTTTCTGCCTAATGCCATGG